TAGAATAGAATAGAATAGAATAGAATAGAATAGAATAGAATAGAATAGAATAGAATAGAATAGAATAGAATAGAATAGAATAGAATAGAATAGAATAGAATAGAATAGAATAGAATAGAATAGAATAGAATAGAATAGAATAGAATAGAATAGAATAGAATAGAATAGAATAGAATAGAATAGAATAGAATAGAATAGAATAGAATAGAATAGAATAGAATAGAATAGAATAGAATAGAATAGAATAGAATAGAATAGAATAGAATAGAATAGAATAGAATAGAATAGAATAGAATAGAATAGAATAGAATAGAATAGAATAGAATAGAATAGAATAGAATAGAATAGAATAGAATAGAATAGAATAGAATAGAATAGAATAGAATAGAATAGAATAGAATAGAATAGAATAGAATAGAATAGAATAGAATAGAATAGAATAGAATAGAATAGAATAGAATAGAATAGAATAGAATAGAATAGAATAGGTTTTTTTTCTTTCTCCCCCAGTTTATTCCCTTCCTGTAGTTACATAGTTGCTCTGCGCTATGCCTGGCTCACTGGGTATTAAGCTCTGTTCCGCATGCAAAGTGTCTCTTCCCCATCTCGGATGGACATGCACAATGTGTCCGCTGACTCGGAGAGGCTCATGTTTCTCAAAAATGTCTGCATTGTGCAAAACTGAAATTGTGGTCGTGACAGGACAGAGACCTGCCTCTCAAGTGAATTCTACTTGAAAGTTCACTCAGGTCAACGGCCTGAGGAACTGAAACAAAGCAGAGGCAAAAAGCCCACCAAAAAGTGAGCCTCATCCGTGTCTCAGGAGATGCCGGTGTCTTCCTCTGGGCCGGTACCAAGAATGGCAGCGCTGCTCTGCCTAAGCACCTATGACACTCCAGGAGTCTCCAGAGCCTCTAGCACAGCTGGCAAGGGGGGACGCTCAAAGCCCCACTCCAAGGCATCAGGCTTTAAGTTGCCTGCCTCATCAGCTGCGATAACATCTGGCACTGAAACTACCTTGCTGATGCAGCATGAGAGCCCAGCACCTCCCATAACTCCGTCCACTGATGCCTCTGCCTCAGAGGTGCCTCGCACATCTCTAGGCCCCTCAGCACTGAGGCACAATCCAACTCCTCTGATAGCACCAGTGCTTCGTGCTATGGTACTGTCAATGCCAGATGAGCAATATGCGCAATAGAGACTTACTAGTCTGCACGTGCAATTCACCATTTCTCAGCCATGGCCGATTCTGTGCGCCCTTTGCTCTCAGGGATGCCCATGGCTGGGCACCAAAGCTCTTTTCTGCTCATTGCTCTGTGCTCAACACATGCTGTGGTGGCTCATGCAGGGCCGGATCCTCACCCAAGGTGAAGGGTGCAGAGTCACTGGGGCCAGGCCCCTGGTGCTGCTGCTCCTTTGACTCCCCTGAAACAACAGCGATTTGCCGTCAGCCAGGCTGGGACCGAGGCTTTGCCCTGCTCTAACACACTGGGCTGGTTTGGCGGAGGACTAGGGAGGAGTGTAAGGAATGAACTAAAGCTTGTGACGGACATAGGAAATCCGGGCGACAGGGTGCACCAGGCACACCAATGGGGCCGAGTGGATGGAGATCCATGCTGGAGATGTGCTGAGGAACAGCTCAGAAGCCTCCGCTCCCATCAGTGCCCTACATCCGAGCACATGGCCCTGCAGTAAAGGGCAAGGAGATGTGGGGAGAAAAAATTGTCTCCATGTTTCCATTTCCCTATCTCCATCTTGCGTAGAGGCCTGGCGAGACCTTTGCCCCCTTTACTCCCACGTTCGACACAATGGGCCTCTGATTCTGGTTTGGGCCTGTAAGTGCCACTGTGATTAATAATCGATTCTCTGTTCTTCTTTTTAGATATTGATGAATGTTCTCAAAACTCATCGATCTGTGGCCTTCACAGCTCCTGTGTCAACACCCTGGGGAATTACAGCTGCCAGTGCAAAGCAGGCCATTCTTCCCCTGGGGGGAACTCCTGGAAACCTGGAGACAACCACACCTTGAACTGCACAGGTACCAGTCTGCCCTCCCTGGGAAAGCCATGGAATAGACATCTGACCCTGACAGTCTCAAAGGCTGGGATGCGGTGGTGCTCACTGTGCTCCGTAATTGAGAAGCTGCCCACAAACCGATGTGTGCGTAGCTAGGCCCTGGCATGTTTGTGATCATTATATAGTATAAGTGTCTGTGCCAGCAGAGCCTTTGATGCTTCTGTGAGAGATGTCCCCGTGGTTGCTCCACATAAGGTCAGTGCGCCGCCGCTGAGCCACTGATAGGAGATTTAAGAGCAGTGTCCCTGAGGCCCTGCATGCGCATGTCTGCAGTCATGTGCTCCTAGGTGGCAGTCATCATGTATGCACGAACCCTCCCCCCCCCCAAATTCCTTCTCTACTGCCTCCGGCTGGAGTCAGAGCTGAGCAGTGCTTCCTAACTCGTTTGCATTTTCAGATAATAATCCCTTTTTAGAACCAAGATTTTTATCACTAGTTGGTCAGTTGTTGGTAGTTTAGTCTAGCTTTTTTTTTTTTTTTTTTTTTTAAGAGGCATAGACAGAATGTAAGTACTTTTCCCTCACTTCCTGAGTGTATGTCTAGACTAGCCCCCTAGTTTTAACGCTGCTCATTGCCCCGTTGTAGCTAGACGTGAACCCCCATTTTAACATCCATCTTTGTCTGCTTGAAACCATGCAGGGCACATAAGAGCAGGAAAACAGCATATTCTTTGAAAACTTTGGAGCAGGAGGTTTAGATATGCTGGCTCAGTGACCATGACCAACTGTAAGCAGAGATAGGAGGGTGGTCAAACTAATTGTTGACCAAGAGGCTGTACATCGTGCCCTTGACTTAACCCATATTGATACGAACACATAACCGTCCGCGGGG